TCTTGCCATGATCGCCAGGTTGGTCTCAAACTACTGGGCTCAAGCAGTCCGCCTCCTTTGGGCTCCCAAAGTACTGGGATTACAGGCATGAGCCACTATGCCTGGCCTTTTTTTTTTTTTTTTTTCCTTTTTCAACGTTTTCTTCCTAATACAGCGGACTTCAATACCTGCTCTGGTTGACCATTTAGTTTTCCCTGTTGTCTGCTTGGTGATTGATTTAGTGATTTCTCAACAGGTAGTAAGCTGTAAAGCTTAAGAATAATTATCATCTTGTTGAGTACATACCCTCCCAAATGCACCATAATTGTGAGCTGTGAAATTCTCTTCATTCATGGCTCAATAAGTCTGGGCCTAGGCTCTCCTAAGCCAAAGATAACTGCCAGTCTATTCTCTAGTCATCTCTCTGAAGCATTTTCCCAGATTTTCCTAAGCATGCCAGGGGCTAGAATAGGTATGTAACCATGTAGCAATTCACATTTTGAGTGTTTATTTCACACGCTACTGTTACCAAATTCCAGAATGGCAGTGATCTGTGGAGCTGTTAGCCCATTAGGCTCTAGAGAGCATTCATTTTCGCCTGTAAGTAACTTCAGTCCAGTGCATTTATTGTTTCTTAAAGTTTGCCTGTCAGTCATGGATATTTAACTGATACAGCTCTTGCAAAGACCTGCAGATTCCCATGTTGCTTCCAACTTTTCTCATAAAAAGATGAATATACTTTGGTTTTTGTCAACAAATGTCATAAGTAACATTGGTAATCATTCAGTAGTGATATTTGGTTTTTGTCAACAAATGTCATAAGTAACATTGGTAATCATTCAGTAGTGATTTTCCTACCAGCTCACCACAGCATTTTGTAGCTTTTCTAAACTGCCACCAAGAATTTTTGGTGTAAATAACTTCTATCCTAGAATATTGGAAGTCTTTCATGTTTCTCTCATCTAGATTACCAGCTTTTTTTTTTTTAGGATAATAGAAGTTTGTGGTTTTTTCCTTTATTTCCTTTTGATTATGGCTCTCTGATAAATTTGTGATGAGGTCATACACCTAACCTATGATCCCACAGGTGTTCCAGTGAAGACCCTGTGGGATCATAGGTTAGCTGTATAAGGACCAGAGGACAAATCAGTGACACAAAATGATTCCAGTTCTTTAACTTGGCAAAAGGGAACCCAAACGAGTAAGGATTATAGTTTTCATCTGTGCTTTCTGTTACTAAAGATTTCTACCCCAACACCAGGTGTGGTGGCTCACACCTGTAATCCTAGCACTTTGGGATGTCGAGGTGGATAGACTGCTTGAGTTCAAGACCAGCCTGGCCAACATGGCAAACCTTGTCTCTACTAAAAATATAAAAATCAGCTGGGTACCGTGACTCAGGCCTATAATCCCAGCACTTTGGGAGGCTGAGGCGGGTGAATCACAAGGTCAGGAGTTCAAGACCAGCCTGGCCAACATAATGAAACCCCGTCTCTACTAAAAGTACAAAAAATTAGCTGGGTGTGGTGGCAGGCACTGTAATCCTACCTACTCTGGAGTGTGAGGCAGGAGAATGCCTTGAACCCGGGAGGTTTCAAGGTTACAGTGAGCCAAGATTGCACCTTTGCACTCCAGCCTGGGTGACAGAGCAAGATGTGGTCTGGGTGACAGAGCAAGACTCAGTCTCAAAAAACACACACGCACACACGCGCACATGCACGCACACAATTAGCCAAGAGGTAGCTCGTACCTGTAATCCCAGCACTTTGGGAGGCCAAGGCTGGCAGATCACAAGGTCAAGAGATTGAGATCATCCTGTCCAACATGGTGAAACCCCATCTCTACTAAAAATACAAAAAATTTTATCCAGGCATAGTGGCAGGTGCCTGTAATCGTAGCTACTTGGGAGGCTGAGGCAAGAAGAATTGCTTGAACCTAGGCGGTAGAGGTTACAGTGAGGCAAGATCACACCACTGCACTGTAGCCTGTCAACAGAGCAAGACTTCATCTCAAAAAAAAAATTAGGAGTGCTGGCACATGCCTTTAGTCCCAGCTACTCAGGAGGCTGAGGCAGAAGAATCATTTGAACCTGGGAAGTGGAGGTTGTAGTTAGTGGAGATCATGCCACTGCACTCCAGCCTGGGTGATCTCTGTCTCAGGAAAAAAAAAAAAAAAGATTTCTACTCCAAAATACCATCTGCTGCTTATCTGTAGTAATAATGATCTTTCACGTCTATAAAATGCTTTGCAGTTTACCCAGTATTCTCCCGTATATTATTTCTTTTTTTTCTTTTTCTTTTCTATACCACCTCAGAACATGCCACATTAATATTATTATTTCT